TTTTATGGAAAATATATTATAAAAATAATAAAATAAGAGAGTGAGATAAAATTTCATAAGAAAGGTATATAGGTACCTTTCTTATGAAATTTTATCAGAAGTGTACATAAAATACTATAATTTTATGTACATTTATTACATTTTACTGTGTTATTTGTATTTCCATTCATTTTATTATTAATTTTAGTATTTCATTTATGGAAAATGTCATAACTGAGATAATATAAAAATAAGATCATAAATTTCGTAAGATAGGTATTTAATACTTGTACGCACCATTCTCAGTTGAAATTGAAAATCCAAATTAACTTTTCCAAGCGTATTTCGCAAAAATAAAGGTCGTAACACAGGGGAACAACGCTTATAGTAACTCAAATAATGTGACGTTTTATTGTTTTCATGTACGGTCTTCCGTATATTTAAATTACAACCGTTTTATGGACACGAAAGCTATGCAAAATTGGATTTTTCATACACTGGTGGTTCGTAGATTGTAATAAGCTTTACGATTTATAATCTGTAACGATAGATCTACTTAATAGCACCATTGTCTAAACTGTACACCATTTTTACTAATTTTAGAATATTTAACAACTTTAATGTAAAAATAATAAAATAATTTAAGAAATAACAAATAATTGTTTTAAAAATTCATTTGTCATTTTTTGCTTTCAGACAATATTATCCATATTCATAAAAACAACTAAAAGCATTTGAAATTAAATAATCTCTTTGTTTTGTATGTTACAATTCAGAGCTGATTTTCAGGTAGAGGTGTTCCGATTATAAAAAAACTGATTTGCTTTCGTCAAAGCCTTCTGCTTTTAACTAATATAATCACTAAATTGTACGGTAATGAATTTCTAGAGTTTTCATAAAATTAGTTGGGGGGTGGTAATAAATATACAAAAAAACTTTATATATAAAAAAACTTTAGAAAAGGAATTATTTATAATAATTTCCATTATTTGTGATTGGTTTCTGAAAGTTTCATTAAAATATGACAATTATTTTTATTTTTGCAAGATTTTACAAATTAATGTCTGTCATAAAAAAAAAAAAAAAAAAATCACGCTAAACTTTGATGTTATTTAGTATTTCCGCTGATATAAAGAGAAACGAAGTTTTTTTTTAATCAAATTTTAGAATGTTCTAAGAAGATGGAAATTTTTTAAGAAATAATTAAAAAATACTTTATTCTTTCTTCTTAATAATAACATTTTGACGATAAAATTTTGTTTTCGTCAAGTTTAGCGTCTTTTTCATCATGCTATGCTCTTTTTTGGCAAATTTTTTCGAGGTACCTACGTAATAATGTTGTTTAATATTTTAGTTTTATTCTAGGAATATTTAAAAACAAGTAAAAAATGACGAAAAATCAACCTATATATCCTATCCAAAATACATGCGTAAGTAAATTAAATTCTAAAAAAATCTATATTAATTCATATTTATATATTTAACTTAATTTTTAAATCGTATATTTTTTTTACATTTTATTTTCGTTGCCCGAGAAAAAAAAAAGAGCTACACAATTTCCTGGCTTTAATTGATTTCAATATTATATAATTGTCTTAAATAAATCAATTGACTTGTCAGTTATTTATTATCATAAATAAGCTACAATCAAATTAACGAGTGCAATTTTAAATAAGTGCCATTCAGATATAAAAATTATCTCCCTTTAATTTTTTACGATCTGATATTTTGGTGAAGTGAACCATTTGACGAAGTAAAGATTCGATTTAACGCTTTCGGGCAAATGGCATTCACTGTTATGAACACGACTCATCAATGATCATTAGCTCCAGAAAGTTCCAGTCAGTTCTCCCTTCCAAACGCTGAAAAGAGATGCTCATGTGATGGAACTTGTGTTCTTTAATCAATTGCTTTGGGGGCCAATGAGATGATACTTTCCGATATTCCGACTCTTTGTTGAAGATTTCAGACAGCCGACTTCGAAAGATCAAATTGTGCAGTCATCATATTACGAAATTCTCTCTATATACCATCTTGAATCAAAGTTTCAACGCGCGCAATCTTGTCTTTTCTTGATGAACGTGGAAGCTCACGTAGCAGATTGGTTTGACTCTGAAGACGCACTACACCAGATCCATACCTGCTTCTTACTCATAACATGTTCACTATGAACAGCAACAAGTTTACTGTGAATTTCTGTCATATTTTGCCCTTGGCATGCAAAAATCTTATAACACTTTGCATCTACATGTTTGTTTACGGTTCTATGGTTGCAGCCATTTTTGTTGTGACGTTGCATACACATGCGCACAATATTAAGGTTGTTGTAAAAAAGTATTGCATATTCCGTCTTCTTTGGATCTGTTTTAAGGCTTTTATAATGTTTTAATTGAACTCGATTTATGTCTATCTTTAAATTATTTTTTGAATATCCTACATGATTTTTTTTTATTTCTTGCTGAAAGTGCCTGGAATTCTGGGAATATAGACGAAAAGATTTCGAATAATTCCAATTCGATCTTTCATCAAAAATAGTCAATGAGAATATGTTTCAATGATCTATATAAATGAAACTTTGAAAACCAGTATATAGTGATACTGTGAGAAATTCTTCCATCCTGAGGATTTTGATCATTTCTTGAGTTCATACTGAAGACGCCAAAATCAACCATGTACAAAAATTTAAATATCTATGAAGTGTTTTAACAGAGGACGGAAAATGTAACACTGAAATCAGAAGGCGCATTGGAATAGGAAAATATGCCTTCCAAAAGCTAAGCAAAGTATTAATTAAGAGGGAAATTTCGTTAGAAACAAGGAAACGAGTTTTATTTAATATCGATCCTCCTATACGGCTGTAAATGCTAGACAGATGAAGAAGAGATTTGAGGTAACCACAATTCTGAAAATACTATGGGCTAAACATTTGAGTAATGACGAAGTTTTAAGAAAAATGGAAACAAAAAGGACGCTTATGCTTAGAATAAGAAAAAGACAGTTCCAGGGTGCAAGACGATGAAAGAGGGCTTGGGAAGTTTAACATTCACAGGACATATTAAGGGCAAGAGAGACCGAGGAAACAGCGAATAACCTAACAAAAGAGTTAATGTAAATGCTAGGGTCCCGTGGGCCCCTGCTGGATCTATGATACGGGGCCCCACTAAATCTACTACATCTCAATTTTCATAAAGTAGTATTCATATAAAATGCAAATTTTATTGTAACCTAATAATGTAAATAATGGATCACATGCAATATTGGTGAACGATTAAACTAAAAAAATTGAAAATAAATATAATGTATCTAAATACAAATTAGAGACATGTCATAACAGATCATTAGATCTTAAATAATTCAACAATGTTTTGCAGCAATTTTTAACATCAACTTTAGATTTTTCTTGTTAAAACGTCGAATACTCTAACACATTCAACAGTATGGCTGAAAAAACATAGTGAATTTTATATAGTGTTTTACCGATGCTTAGCACGAGGAAGACAAATTCACGAATTCATCCTTTTAATTTTGCTTAGTTTAATTTGTAACGTGTACAAATGTAGGTAGAAAACGGCTACGCATTGCCCGGGACTCCCAATCAGGCTTGCCCCGGTCGGGGGTTCAGGGGTAGTACGCACCGAACCTGTGTAAATGCTTGACAAAACAGGGAATAGGAGGGATAATAAAAAGACAAACCTTTCCAGGAGCTACAAACGACAGGAAGTTGTGAAGAGCCATGTTTGCCTGTGTCCTGAAAGGATACGTCTCGTAGAACAAGTGGTGATTTTCTAAGAGTAGCTTAGATGTGATACAAGGCAGAAAGAGAATCGAATTCATTATTCAGTCGTAATTGATCTAGCAATACAAGCTTGCTAACCATTACACGTCGAAGTGCCCAATGTATAGTGATTTACTAAGCGTAGCTTAATTGTGACACAACGCCGAAATTAGGTAGCACACAGTGAGTATCGAAATCACTACTCAGTCGTAATTGATTTAGCAGAGACAAATTCTCTAACCATTACACCACGGGGAAAAATGGTCTTCTGAAGAATGACACAATTTCTCTTGACTAAAGCTAGATGTTTAGAGGCATAAATCTGATCTGCGGTTGTTCAACTGATTAATAATAAATATCTGCTGTGATCTGATTTGAATTCTAAGAGCTCGTAACAGACGAGACCTACTGTATTCCATCGATCTAGATCTAGGGTTTTGATGGTTTCGAACAATATCTGAGTTTATTTCAACAAGGCAGAAAAGATTTAGTTTTTTTTAGTGGGATTTCGCCTTTGCTAATAATAATTATGATTATGTTTTTGGCAAATTGATATAACTTTTATTACGTTTGAATGCGTTTTATTTCTTCTACAAAATATGCTATATTACTTTCCAAGCAACTTAATATCTTTCAAATCATCTAGCTATTTCTCTAATAGAGTTATATGTATGTATGTGTAGGCAGATACAAAATGTTCATGTATGCCGATATGCTTTCATTTATTTCCCATTGTGTTGATTCATTGTGGATTGCAATCCAACCAAATGAGGTGGACAGGTTGGAAAGAGATGCGGTTGGTTTCACCATTTTATCAAAAGGATGTCACACAGGTTTTGTGAAAGCGGGAAAAAAGAATGGGTCAGAATAAAAAATAATGATGAAAAAAAAAATAACTTTACGCTCGGCCGAATTCTGATTTGCTTCATTAAAAATACATTTGCAAATGTAGTTTTCATTGTTCGCTCAGCTCTGACGGTAAATCTGACTGTTTGCCTTTTGATATGTATATATCTATAGATCATAGTTTGTTAGCAATTATCCAAATCAGTATGTGTGTTGCTTTCTACACAAGTCAGTTAAATATCTATCTGAAATATTTACAGTTCATTGTCCTGTAGGAATAGCAAGTGCACGAACCCAAATAAAGCCATGGAACCGAATCCTGATTTTCAAAGTTTATAGGTTTTTCAAATAATTTCTGTAACACGCGTTGTGTACCTTCATGAATCTGTAAAATCAGTAGAATCTATCTCAGCCTCTATCTATCTATCTATCTATCTATCTATCTATCTATCTATCTATCTATCTATCTAAATCTGTATCTATCTACCTATCTAAGTCTGTATCTATCTATCTGCTAATAGATGATAGTTTATTAACAATTATCTAAATCAGTCTTTTTTTCTTTATACCCAAATCAATTAATCTATCTTTTTTTTTTTAACCATTTCACCCCAAGCGAGGCGATAATGTCACTGGGACGCAAAGGGCTACTGGGAGTGAAAGAGAATGAGAAGACTTCAGTGAGAAGAAAAGACAATAAAAGAACATGTTTCAGGAAGACAGAATATGGCGACTGACGCAGCGTTTAAACTTTTTGTAGGTGACAAGGAGGCAAGAAATCGGAAAGGAGTTTAACATGTTTTCCATGGTTAAATGACTTGTTCGCAGGGAAAAATACACAAACTTCTTATACCTGGAGCACATAGTATGCTTGTCATCTCGTAATATTTACAACCCTTCCAAGGTATAAATATCTACAAGTAAATATCTAAAGATGCGTAGATGCATCTATAAATAAAGAGAACAATCATGTATATGCGCACACACACATATCTCATATCTATTGATGTCTACGTATATTATAACTGCATATTACACACATACACAATAAAACTAAAAAAGAATTTGTTCTCCTCGGACTCTAAATAAAGCTTCGTCTACATCAATACTTTTCACTCAGGATGCCACAACACACCGGTGTGTTACTGAGAGCAAGGGCTTTGCAAGATAATTTTCAACGACAAAATTGACGTAAAAAAAGAAGCACAATCTATTCCCCCTAAAAGAAGTAGTTCGCTAAGTGTAATAAAACGAACTTATAGCATTTTTTTTCTTTAGGAGATTTTAAATGAAAAAAAAAGAATAACGAACAAGACAGTCAAACAAAGAAGACTTCGTTACTATTAGTTAGGGGACGTAAAAATGAAAGGTTGAAAAAGAGGAAGTCACAAAGAGCATGTATTATTTTACGTATTCAGTATGAGGAAATGTCGGCTTAGCAATACCAAACGCCCTGCCAGAGTTGACGAATGAGTATGGTTTGATATAGGTGGGAGTAGACAAGGGGAAAGTCATGTTGCATGTTAGTCTTCTCTCTTTCTTTAGCTGTTTTCTTATGTCAACCTAACTTACCGTTTAATTTCGATTAGCGTGTCGCGTACATTCAACATAGGTAGGTAGGGTGACAAGGTCACAAAAAGGCTGAAAACCACTGGACTAGATACTATATGTGGCATGATAAATGAAGAATCTCCGATAACAAGCAACAGTCACTTAGTATACGCTTACTGTAGCATTTTCTTTTCACTTATCTGTTCTATAATCTTTAGTAAATAATTGAAAGAAAAAAGTAAAATTAAGCCATCCGTAAAAGAAGAAATGTTTGAATAGAATGGTACCTTCTTTGTTTCTTTCTTTCTTCTATCTTTCTTTTTTTCTTCTTTCTTTTTTTCTTTTATTATGAATTTTTATTGTTACTGATATAGTTGTCAGTAATTTAATTTAATTTGTTTGAGCTCCATTCTTTAATATTTAAAACCCAGGTTTGGTTTGGTTTGTTTTACGGCATATCAACCTAAATGGGTTATTTAATGCCGACAAAATTTTATTTCTGGTAATTTTTGTTCTTCAAAAATATATTACTGGTAATATTTTTTTCAAAAATGTATAGCTGGTAATATCTTTTGTTTCAAAAATGTATTACTGGTAATAACTTTTTCCAAAGTATTTCTGGTATTAAAACCTATTTTTATATTTTAATAGTGTTTTAACCCCTATTTGGGGGTTAAATATTTGCCCATAGCTGCGACCCTAACAGGTGTTATCACCTCGGGTCAGGGTGGACCTGGGAACACCAACAATTAAGAGGTGGTTCCACGTTCCTCAAAACCTCCTGATCAGAGGCCTTGCTGTCGGACGTAGTTTATCGTCTTACCCAGGACGCGGATGTAGTTTATCGTCTTACTCAGAACGGTTAAAATCCAGGATGAGTAGATGTAGACAAACGTCCTATAGCTGAAAATGTCAAGGAAATTCATTTCACTAAATGCTTCTGTGAAAGTATTATTATCAGGTCATCTCATAAGTCCTGTCCGAATTTTGAATAAAGAAAACAAGTGACCAAATGTTACATTTAAATACAGATTCAATCAACAATGTATTTTCCCTGATTATCTATAACTTCCTTCCATCTATTAACAAGCTTACTAATTCTATTACTGTAAAATTCTTTTGGCTCTGATTCGAAGAACTCACAAATGTCAGTTTTAATCTCTTCCTGTGTTACAAAAGCTGTTTCTTCCAAATGATTATGTAAGCTACGAAACAAATGGTAGTCTGAAGGAGCAAGATCGGGAGAATAAGGTGGATGAGGAATTTTCTCCCAACCAAGTTCTTCGATCTTTTGTGACGTGATTCTTGCTGTGTGGGGTCGCGCATTGTCCTGATGAAACATCACCTCTTTTCGATTCACTAGAGCAGGTCTTTTTTTCCTCAAAGCTTGGTTCAAACGCTCTAATTGCTGACAGTATATTTGAGCATTAATTGTTGCATTAGGTAGTAAGAATTCAAAGTGGAGTATTCCTTGGCGATCCCACCAGATTGAAAGAAGAACCTTTTGCCCATGAAGTTCCTTCTCGGCTGTGGCTGGGGTCCTTCCCTTTACCAAGCCACTGTCTACGATGCTTAACATTTCGATAAAGATCCATTTTTCGTCGCCAGTCACAAGTCTATCCAAAAAAAAGGTGAAACAAGTTGGCGAGAATGGAGAGAAGAGCAGATGTCAACTCGGGATTTGAGGTTGTTTTCAGACAATTCATGAGGCACCCATTTTCCAAGTTTAGGAACTTTTCCAAATTGTTGAAGATGACGATGAACAGTTGTATAGTTTGAACTGAGAACCACTGCCAATTCCTCAACTGATAAAGCAGGATTTTCTTCAAGGGCTGCTTCAAGAAGCTTTTCATCAAACTCAACTGGACGTCTGGTTTGATCTTCATCTTCAAGGGGGAAATCTGCACCTCTGAATTTTGCAAACCATCTTCTGCAAGTTCTTTCATTCACACATTCCTCTCCATAAACTGAGTGAATGTTTCTAGCCGCTTCGGCTGCTGAGTTTTTTTTCTTGAATTTATAAAGCATTATGTGCCTCAAATGATTCTTGGATACTTCCATGTTAGCAGGGTTTTAATAAAACAAAATTTAATTTTATCGTTCTCTGAAATAAAATTTGATCAGTTTAAATGCATCTAAACATAAAAATAATGTTCAGCTCCATTAGACATTATAAAATACTCTTTAAATTTCGTTCATTTTAACAAAAAGTTAAAATTCGGACAGAACTTATGGGATGACCTGATAGGTATTTTAAGAGAAGTAAGAACAAGGTTTAGGAGAAATAACAAAAAGATAAAACTTAGGGTCAGGAATATGTGGAAGGCCATGGTCGCCTACAACCTCAAGGGACAAAGCACAAAAAAGAAAAAACAAAAATAGGAGCACCTATCGTATTAATCACGCCAATTATCGGCTTTGTCTTTGTTTCTCAATGGCCGCTCCATAAATTGTGCTTAAGTAGATAAAATTAATAAATTTCTAGGCAGCAATATCGCATTTTCATCAGTATCATCATCCTTAAAACGTCGCAAATGTTAGCCGAGGGTTGAGTTAATTTTGAAGAAAGTGTCCAAGTTATTACTAGGTTGGCCAGAAAGTCCTGATTCACTTACGAAACGGAAAGAAGACAGCAAATACTGATCTCTGTCTGGTGTAATTTCCAAGGAGTACTGCATTTCGAGCTTTTCCACACGGTCGCACTATTAACACTAAACTGTATTGCTGGCAGCTAGAACGCGTGTACGAAAAACTGAAGAAGGGGTATCTTGCTTTGGTCAATCGAGGTCGAGTTTTGTTTCAGCAAGACAATGCAAGGTCACACACTGCCAGGTTCACTAAGACGTTCAAACAGATTCTGGCCTATTCCGCTTAGTGGCACACTTTCTCCGCGACTAGCAATTCAACATTTTTGATGAAGTGAAGGAAGCTTGTTAACAGTTTTTTATTTTATTCAAAGCCATCGGACTGGTATCTGGGAGAGATTGTGATGCTGGCTGAAGATCGTCGAGGATGAAGGACTTTAAGTTGAAGATTAAATGTTAGGGTTGCTCCATAAAATTTTGTTTTTTTCTTTCCGCTTCATAAGTAATTCAGGACTTTCTGGCCAACATAATAATATCTCTTAACCGTTAAGAAAATAAAATATCCAACGATCAATTTGATGGTAGGCACGTTATCTTTTATCATATGTCCATATCAAAAATTGTTATTACATCAACACTTGAGATGAATTATTCACGATTTTTATTGTATATAAAAATACACAATTTTGGTACATGGCCTAAAAGGGGGGAGGGGTTAAGGCTGGTCTTCACTTACTATCTTATACCTAGCTAATCAGATTCACGACCCATTCATTCGTTACAACTTGCCCATTCACCACAAGAACTCATCCATACACCATAATACCGCATACTCCCAGGGAACCTAAAAAACGCACCTGATGACATAAAAATTTGACGATTATAATAATTTATACATAAAAAATTTGATGATTTACAATGAGAGGGGAGAAGATGAAACCAAAAACAAAATTAAAATATCAAAACAAACAAAAATAAAAAATAACTAATGTTAGTTCAATCCCCAAAATGGAGATGAGTTTTTCCCACCACCCAATTCAGTTCATCGGCTTATATATATATATATATATATATATATATATATATATATATATATATATATATATATATATATATATATATATCTTCTACCACTTGTTTCATTCATATTACACACCTTGTTCATCATAACCATTTTAACATTAACCCTCAACTTTGAGTAGCTCTCTCGAGTCTTGTATTGGAGGAACTTTACTATAATTTGTCTGTCTCTTTCTTATCACTACAAACATTATTTTAGTGGGTACACGTGGTTGAGTTATTATCCCTGTTTTTTTATTTTATTTTATTTTATTAAACAGTGAAATTAATGACAACCGACCGGAATTGAGAAGTTCTACTAAAGAAAAGTGTGCCCCTGCCACGAGTCAAACTTGTATCCTGTTCTTTTCCATCGGGGAAGTCACTTTTTGAGCCAAAGTGTACTGCTACCAGTTTGCCCACGGAGACCAGCCTGCAAATTACTGTTATTTTCGTTTTGTGTATAAAACCGAAATTAGCAGATATAGATTCATGGAAGTCCCAACGAGAAACGCGCTTTTCTTAAATATGTAAGATTTTCCTAATTAAATAATGTCTTAGGTTTGTTGCGATTTAGAGCAGATTTTCTGTAACTGGGGGTCTTGCTTGACAAAAAAAAAAAAAAAAAAAAAATAAGATTTAAATTCTCTGAGGATTCGTCCTTATAACTAATGTAAACACTGAACGATACCAAAAAGGATTCCTCGAAATTTCATAAACTTAAGTGGGTGGTAACAGATATAAACAAATAAAATTTCACCCACGATTTTGTAAAAAAAAAGAAGCATTTAAAAAAATAATTAATTTCTGATTAAGTCCTGAAAGCTTAATAAAAATCTGACAATTATCTGATTTTTTTCAAAAATTTCCAAATAAATGTCCCCCCCACTACCAAAAGCTCTAATTTCCCGTACTAATTTATGTTCCCACCTTGACGCCAGATAAACAAAATATTTTAACCAAACTTTCGAAGGTTCTAAAAAGGATTAAAAAAAATAATTTCCATATAAAAAATCCCTTCGTTTTTCCTCTTAAAAAATAATAATAAAGATGTTAACGATAAACTTTGTTTTAATAACTTTTATACATTTTTTCATCATGTATGCTCATTTTTTAGCGAAATCGGTACCTATATATATATATATATATATATATATATATATATATATATATATATATATATATATATATATATATATATATATATATATATATATTCATCTACCGGCCTGAATATTCGAGAAATTTTATTAAAGAAAAATATGTACAATCCAGAAGGACTAACAATAACAATTAAGTAATAAAAATCTATCAGATTTAATAAATTAAAAAATCCATCCCTTTCTTTCTTTATATACACGAACACAGACACACAGACACATAAACACAGACACTCACACACACACATATATATAAGTTATGAATAATCAAAAGTGGTCCCCCTTTGTTTTGTTACTCTTCTCTTTGAGAGAGCTATTTCTGTTTATTGGGTCTATAAAAGGACACTATATGCGAACCTTGTATTCTCAGTTGAATAAACTTTCTTAAAGCCTATATCTGAGTACTTTTGTCATTACAACGTATATATATATATTGATGTTTTCTGGTATTTGTTTATTTTTCATTGTTGACAGAAATTACTATTAGAGCTCAAGTAAAAGCCATTTGATTTCCAAAAGTCGTAATCTCTCCTCCTACTCTTAGAGAAGATTAGCACAAGTCTGCTCTCGCTTTTTGTCTGTATACCGGATTCTGTCATACATAAGTTACGACGCACATTCATACCCACATTTTATAATGAGCCAATAGAAATAGCAATAACAATATTTTATCAATTGAAAATAACGCGGGCCAAATAAAACAATACTAAAAATAAAGATCCCATTATGTCATCATCATCAACACCAACACAAATGACGATATTTTTTTAATTATAATATGAAGAAAAGGAAGAGAAACAAACTATTGACATTAAATACGTTTGTTCACGTTAAATGCAGTCGTACATTTTCCTTACAAATTTGATTCGTTCAAATACAGATACGGATTAAGATATAGAGGTGCAACAATAGATTTCTTGCATAAATGGATAAATAATTAAATATTTAATAATTAATATTAAAACCTTTCTAGCATCAGGTTTCAACTCATTGTTGACAGATATTTCCAATGGCGCAAGAAATCAGTGTCCTAGCCTAGAAAAAAAAACAATTTTTTAATGCTGATTCTTAATGCATTCAAATATTTCCCACATCCCCAACAATTTATTCTACCTCATCTAGGTTTTTTCTTTATGTGCCGTGTCCACCGAAGACATAAGCGATCATGGCTCTCCACAACTTCCTGTGTCTTGTAGAATATTTGTTCGTAAGTGAATATAACGAACCCAACGGGAATTGGAACTCGGCTCTCCAATTTACAATTTAGGGCCATTATCCATTACACCACCCACACATCCAAGCTTGCAGCAGCTAGTATTCCCAGTCGGTCACCCATCTAGGTACTGACCAATCTCAACGTTACTTAACTCCGGTGATCGTACGAAAATCAGTGTTTCAACGTGATGTAAGCCACAACGAGAGAGAGAGAGAGAGAGAGAGAGAGAGAGAGAGAGAGAGAGTGTGAGAGAGAGAGAGAGAGAGAGAGAGAGCTGCTGTGTGTGTATGCGTGTGTTAAATATGTAAGACAATTTGGAAAACTTTTATTTTGTTATTTTCCGCCACCAATCTGCATCATTGGAATTTTTCTCTCTTGACGCTGAGTGATTGGCGAAACATGTCAAATTAAGTTTTCCATATTGTCTTATATAATTACTGTTTCATCGGATTATCAAAATTTTACTCACAATGAGAGTGTAAAAGAGAGAGAGAGAGAGAGAGAGAGAGAGAGAGAGAGAGAGAGAGAGAAAAACAATAAGGGGGAATAAGAAATACACAAAAACCTTATTATTTTTTTTATTCTTTATTATTATTATTATTATTATTATTATTATTATTAATATAATTTAACCCACGGAGTGTTGGATTTTTTATGGGTGACCACTGCGCAAAATACGAACTGGTACTCAGCATAAAAATAAAAAGGCTGGCCTATTTGAGGACTCGTTGAACATACTGTAATCAATCTTTACCTCCTTTCTTTTTGTTACCGATTCTAGATCACTGTCGTCTCAACTCATTCGTAGACACAAGCATAAATTTAGGACTAAATGAATATAAACACAGAAAAGGACCACTTCCTTAGAGTATCAAGCCAGACTCAAAACAACACTTAATAAGTGTTATAGTGGAACACACCTATTCTATAGTTAATAGACTCTCCCACCTATAATAAGTATTAATAGTAGTAGCAGTCGCCAGTCGCTCAGTGAGTTGGTCAGTCAGTCGATGTCGGACGACCGTTAGTCGGATATTAAAGTATCAGCCACCACAACTAGATTGCTGCGTCATTAACTATTATATCAAGTTCCTAACGTTTTGTACGTTGAACCTATTTTAGGACCGACTTAGTGAAATACAAGCCTCCACTGTGAAACTACTCTATAACAATAAGTTTCAAAATCAATAAACTACACACAATAATCTATGTCAGTATCAGGTAAGTTAATTTAATTCTATTTACTCCATTTCTGGAGTACAAAGAAAGGAATAGTAAACTGTTATGTGATATATGCCCTCCTGTATGGCAGTGATTGCTGAATGATCTTCTCAAAGATGAAGAGGAGACTTGAAACAACAGAAATGTGGTTCTACAGAAGTATGCTTAGAATACCGTAGATTGAACATATAAGTAACGACATTTTGGAGAAAATGGAAACGAGAAGGAAATTAAGCCCTATTCCGCCATCCGTTTACTCAAATTCACTATGTTATGTATTGTCTTCCTTTGTCTCTCTTGCCATACCTGACTCCTTTTACAAGAGTCAGATTAGACCAAAAATGAAGTGTTGCAGACATATATCGGCTGGAGCTGCCCAATCCTCACTATCAAGACTGGGCAGTGAGGATTTGGCAGCTCTAGCCGATATATCAGCAATACTTCATTTTTGGTCTGATCTATCGAGTTCAAAAGCGTTTATGTGACCTTGTGAGTATTGAATTATTTTCAAACCTGCAGCGCCTTTCCCACAGACTAGATGCGGCTAGCTCCTTGCTACTCTATCGCTATTTTCTTGGGAAATGTTCAAACGAGTTACATTCCTTAGCACCACCAGTTCAGATATTCACCATGCACATAAACAGGGTTGAATTATCTTCATTTCCTTCGTATTCCATTGGTAAGGAGGACGTTTCACTCAGATGGCTTCTTCCTCAGAACTGTTACTTTGTGGAACAGACTCCGGAGAAAATACTTCCCCGATCCCTATGATCTTAACCTCTTCCAGTCATCGGTCAACCATTGTCTATCATACATATCCCCAAGGTTTGCATATATTACCCCCTCCCTTTATGTCATTACAACAACCTTATTCAATAAACCATTAACTTCAGTACCTCATGAGTCTTGCATTGGGTGAACAATGTAGTTGTAATGACAAAAGTACGCAGGTGTAGGCTTTAACAAAGCTTAATTGAACTGAAAATACAAAGTTCGCGTATAGTGTCCTTTTATAGTCCCAGTAAACAGAAATAGCTCTCTCAAAGGACAGAGTAACGAAACAAGTGGAGACCACTCTTGAATATTCATAGCAGTAGTATTAAATAGCTATTCATTATTTTGACTCTAATACTAATTGTTTACTAAATCAGCTAATCCAGAAACCGCCTCTTTGTGCTTACTATAAATTTGTAAAAGTTAACTTTGGTCAATTGAAGGTTGCTGGAATGGGAAAATAAGACATTTTTAAATTTAAGAAGGCTCATATATATATATATATATATATATATATATATATATATATATATATATATATATCACGCTAAATGAAAAGTTTAAATAAATCTTGCTAAATACAGTAGATATGAAAAACCTTTTTACAATTATGTTCAAACACGGCTACAAATTAAATAAGTGGTTTCTGGAAAGTGATTAGATATAAAAAGTCACGTGATGTATTCTCTACTATGTCCGCGCGGTTGAAATCTGAATGACCTGAAAATAGGTCATGGTTCGGGTTACCAAATACATTCTTGCGCAAAACTCAGGATTCGGGAACCGGGCACTGGCTGTCAAACAGCGATAAAAACCGACTCAGTCAATAACCAGATGGGAAACGGAACAGTCACGGATCAGATCTGCAACGAGACAGTCAGTGAAGCCTCGATCAACAGCTTAGACACACGTTACCATGACAACGCGTCAGTCAGCGATGATTTTTCTACATACAATTCCACCACGAAAGTACGTCTGGTCTCCCCTCTCTTTGTTCGTTGCTTTTTAAAATTACTGCTATCGCACGCAATCGATCAGCAGTCACACACGTTTCATTAGCGTGTGCTTCACACACCATACATATTTGTGTACCATACCACTTGATTTCCTCACTTGCAACAAAAAACATTTCGAAACTTTGAAGACTCACTAGCGACAAATCATTTCGAACAATCGAACTATTGTGTCTTCATGGCTATAACAAAGATCATTGATTTTTAATATGTAAATACATGTAACTGACTGTATAAATGTTAATGTCATATGTAGCTTGTCCTTTTCCTTTTCTGCGAAGATCATTTCATTGCGTTGTATAAAAAAAAAAATTGTTGTATTTGAGGACATAACACTCAGATTTCATTTTTCCTCCTAAGATCCGGGTGGACTGACCTCACAATATGAAGAACAATTTTAGGGGAATAGTGTATGAAAATTGTTTACACTTTGCCATACTTCTTTCTCATAACACACACACACACACACACACACACACACACACACACACACACACACACACACACACACACACACACACACACACACACACACACACATATGTATGCGTACCTTATGGATTAATTTATTTTTCTGTTGCCATATAGTGTTAGTGTTATATGAATATTTTGTCTCAATGAAAAAACATACATATTTCTTATTCAAAAATATATTAATTTCTAATTACAAATATAAATAAAAGATTTTTTTAGCATCGAATTGTCTTTTTTCACAAAACAATACTGTCAATACATTAGTCGTTCACCATAACAGGTCCGACAATGAGATCAATTGCAAGAATGCGGTTATGATTAATTAAGTGATAAATAAATATATTCAGACAAATATGTATTGAAAGTGCGTTAATTTCGGAAACTTCTACGATAAATTTATATCTATAATCATACAACGTATCTCCTTTCCTCACAAAATTAACATAAAAAAAATAAAATAATAAAATGTTGGATATTTAAATACAATGAAAATAAAAGTAATAAAAATTCGCGTGTGATAAGATAAGTTTAATTTAAATTTAAATACATCTGACGGCAAAATTTAAATGCCTCTCTGTCTTTAACGTTTTGGTGTAAGCTGCAGCCGGGGTTTACTCTACTTTTTGTCTCTTTCTATGTAGGAGTGATTCCAAAACTGTTATTTTGTCTGAAGTCATTCTTTTCGGAAGGAAACTTGTCACAATTTCCTGTCTTGTTGTGTAGTTAATATTATTCTGATATATATTTTTATATTAAATTTTTCGTAAATTTCTTTATAAATCAATACACGTCTATATTGATATTCATTTCCGAATCTATATACAGAGCAATGTAAGTCCTGAGGTTGTATATAAAATGTAACCAAATGTTTCTTATAGTTGTTTTTTTCTGACCCGTGACAAATCAGACGTATTTTCGATTCAGTTTTCAGTTCCCTACTTATATTGGTGATAACTTATTTTAAAATTTCAGTATAGTCTGTATAGTGTTTTAACAGGGGGACTGAAAGTGCGACACTAAAATCCAAAGGCACATTGGGATAGTGAAAGATGCCTTCCAAAAGCTAAAGTATTAAGAAACAGAAAATGTTTGTTAGAAACAAAGGAAAGAGTGCTGAAATGTTATGAAATATCGGTCCTTCTGTATGGCAGTGAGTGCTAGACAATTTTCTCACAGAAGAAAAGACTTGAAGCAACAGAAATGTGGTTTTACAAAAGGATGCTGAGAATACCATGGACCGAACATTTGAGCAACGACGAAGTTTTAGAGAAAATGGAAACAAAAAGCACACTTATACTTAACATCAGTAAGAAACAGTTGAAATTCCTAGGGCACAATGAGAAAAGAGGGCTTGGAAAATTTGATACTCACTGGGCATATTTTAAAGGTAAGAGGAACATAGAAAAAGAACTCATAACCTACCTAGTGAGCTTGTGTAAATAGATGGCAGAACAAGGTTTAGGAGAGATAACAAAAAGACAAAATTTATTAAGAGCTACAAGGGACAGGAAATTGTGGTGAGCCGTAGTCACCCACATTCTGAAGGGACACGTGTGCATTCTAGGAGATAAATACAAAATAAGCACTCGGGCCCCAAATACTGACTATTGGCATCAACTTCAGAAGCACATAACTCGAGATATTGCAAATCATTTAATTGGAAAAAATGATAAAATATGTAAAAGGAAATTTAAAACCCGTTA